TGTCCTGCGACGTCAATGCCCAGACCTGGCCCTTCGCGCGGGAGATCTTGTCCTGGGCGGGGGTGGAAGGCGGACGCCAGGGCTCTCTTTGGGGGGGGGGGGGCTTCAGTGGGTTCTTACGGGGGGGGGGGGGGGGGGGGGGGGGGGGGGTTCTCTGGTTGAGGTGAGCGGTCCCTTTGGTTCTTTAATCAGCTGCTTTAGGGGTGGTTTATTCTTATTCTTCGTCTTATTATAAAATATCTGTATATATATATATGCATATACATATATTGTTTTCTCTCTGCAAACAGGTTAACGACACGCCCAACAACCGGCAGTCAGAAGCTACTGTGCTGCGCCAGAAGTGACAAGTTGTACATATACACAAATGCGTATGTGTTTTTTCCGGGGCTTAAGATGGGTGTTCAGAGAGAGCTGACAGAGCCAGCTGTGGCCCATTTTTCTCCCGTGGCCCCCCTCCCCCCCCCCAGCCCGTCAACAGAACAAGAGAGAGAATGAGAGAGAGAGAGAGAGAGAGCGAGAGAGAGAGAGAGAGGGAGAGAGATAAGGAGCCGCACTGGAAGGAAGTTCTGTGACTCTATTTCCGTGGAGAGTGGTTTTTGACATTTCCTCCTGACGGCACTTTCGCCCCAAACACATGCCCTCTCGCTCAACGTGGGGGGGCATCGAGGGCAGCACTTGGGACGGGCGCGGGGCTAAGCGAGAGAGAGAGAGAGAGAGGTCCCTGCCCCATGCCCTGTAAAAGAAGGGAGGAAGGGAGGCTCTGCCCACGGCAGAAAGAAAGAGAGAGAAGAGACGAGCTCCAAACTCTTATGCGCCCTTAGGCCTTACGCCCCTTGTCTTCTAAGATCGTTGTCTTTTTCTTGCTGCGTGGGTTGTCGCAGGCTCCGAGGTCCAGCTGAACATTGGCGTCGCGAGCGACTGGCTTGCCAGTGGTCAGTTGGGGTCCAAGTGGGGAGGGTTTAGGGTTTAGGGTTTAGGGTTTAGGGTTTAGGGTTGAGGGTTGAGGGTTTAGGGCTTAGGGTTTAGGGTTCCATTTCATGAGCTCCCAAGAACAGCGCCACAAGGTTGAGGGATCAGGGCCTTCACTAGGAGCATGTGCGCAGGACCGACCCCTCAAGTACCCTCCGCCTGGACATGCCCGGACCGTGCAGTCGGCTCAGGGTTTGGGGTTTAGGGTTTAGGGTTTAAGGTTTCAGGTTTAAGGTTCAAGGTTGAAGATTTAAGGTTTAAGGCTTAAGGTTTAAGGTTTAAGGTTTAAGTTTAAGGTTCAAGGTTTAAGGTTTAAGGTTTAAGATCTGAGGTCTAAGGTCTCAGGTCTAGTGTTTAGGGTTTTAGGGTTTAGGGTGTTAACCGGTAGTTCAGGCCCATCAAGGAAGAGAGTAGTGTCCTTTCCGGCCTCATTCCGATGGGTTTAGGGTTTGGGGTTGACGGCGTAGGGTTGAGCCCCATCATTATTCCCTACGTCGCTATTGCTGAGGGGGGATCTGACCCTAAAACCCTAAACCCTAAACCCTAAACCCTCAACCCTCAACCCTCAACCCTCAACCCTCAACCCTCAACCCTCAACCCTCAACCCTCAACCCTCAACCCTCAACCCTAAACCCTAAACGCTAAACGCTAAACGCTAAACCCTAAACCCTAGACCCTAGACCCTAAACCCTAAACCCTAAACCCTCAACCCTTAACCCTTAAACCCAAACCCTAAAACCCCTAAGCCCATAGCAACAAAAGAGCGCAAGGCTGGGAAGCATCGACGTGCTGCTCCTGGACCACCGAGGAACTGTCTACCAGGCTCCGAACTGGGCCATCGCCCTAAACCCTAAACCCTAAACCCTAAACCCTAAACCCTAAACCCTAAACCCTAAACCCTAAACCCTAAACCCTAAACCCTAAACCCTAAACCCTAAAACCCTAAACCCTAAACTCAGGGCCTAGGCCGCCCCCCTACAGAGGGGGGGCGGCGCTTAAGCCCTTCGACCTCTATGGCGAAGGTCGACCCAGGTCGCTTGCCCGCCTCCTGCAGCCAGGAGGTCGGTAGCACCCACGATGGGCCCGGTACTGGAGCAGGTTCTCCCGGGGACCAGTACTGGTCCCCTTAATAAGGTAAACACCCTAAACGCAGGGGCTCTGGGCCCCCTGACCCCCCTGAAAACCCCCTGGCCACCCCTGGCCCCCCCTGACCCCCTTGGGCCCCCCATTGGGCCCCCGGCGCCCGGGCTTTTGGGCCCCTGCCCGGCCCCCTCCCTCTGTCCTGCCCTGAGCCCCCTGAACGTTGGTGGGGCTCTGGCTTTGGGCCATTCTGGGCCCCGTTGGTTTCTGCATGCAGACCCTGGAATTGGGCCCCTGCCTAGCCTCTCTGAGCCCCCTGACGCTGTGCTTTTTCCTCTGCGCCTCCTTAACTGGGCCGCTCTGGGCCCCTCTGCCGGGCCCCTGGTGCCCAGACTGACCCTGGCCTGGGCCCGTGGTCCTTCTCCCTCTGTGGAGGCTTGTTTTTTGTGAAAAGCCGTGACGGAATGAAGAAGTTTTATGTAAAGAAAGCAGTTGGCTTGAGTTTAGGCCTAAACCCTAAAAGGAATAGGTTTGGGTGGATTTGCCGCCTTGGACGGCGTGGGGTGGGAGAAAAGTGTTAGATGGCCTTCCACAATCGGGCCAAAGCTGCTCTTCGCACCTCACGACGCTTTCGAGCTTATTCCAAAACCTAACCTTCACAGCATCTACGCCCTATCACAGCAAGCCCTAAACCCTAAACCCTAAACCCTAAACCCTAAACCCTAAACCCTAAACCCTAAACCCTAAACCCTAAACCCTAAACCCTAAACCCTAAACCCCCTAAACCCTAAACCCTAAACCCTAAACCCTAAACCCTAAAACCCTAAACCCTAAACCCTAAACCCTAACCCTAAACCCTAAACCCTAAACCCTAAACCCTAAAACCCTAAACCCTAAACCCTAAACCCTAAACCCTAAACCCTAAAACCCTAACCCTAAAAACCCTAAACCCTAAACCCTAAACTCTCTCTATCATATAATAATTTAAACCTTAATAACGTGGCCATTGGCAAAAAAACGTGGCCATTGGCAAAAAAACCGTGGCCATTGGCAAAAAAGCCGTGGCCATTGGCAAAAAAGCCGTGGCCATTGGCAAAAAAGCCGTGGCCATTGGCAAATTCGCCAATGGCCACGGGAAAGTTGCCAATGGCCACGGCTTTTTTGCCAATGGCCACCAATGTCATTAAGGTTGGTCGCCAAAATGGGTTTTTCAAACCCAATTCGCACAAAATGCCCCCCAACCTTAATGGGGAACGTGGCCATTGGCAAAAAAGCCGTGGCCATTGGCAACTTTTCGGGCTTTTTGCCAATGGCCACGGCTTTTTTGCCAATGGCCACGTTCCCCATTAAGGTTGGGCCCCAACCTTAATGGGGAACGTGGCCATTGGCAAAAAAGCCGTGGCCATTGGCAAGTGGCATTTGCCAATGGCCACGGCTTTTTTGCCAATGGCCACGGCTTTTTTGCCAATGGCCACGGCTTTTTTGCCAATGGCCACGGCTTTTTTGCCTTTTTTTTGCCCCACCCCCCCCCCACCCCCCCCACCCCCCCCCCCACCCCCCCCCCACCCCCCCCCCACCCCCCCCCCCACCCCCCCCCACCCCACCCCCCCCCACCCCCCACCCCAAACCCCCCCCCCCCCCCCCCCCCCCCACCCCCCACCCAACCCCCCCCCCCCACCCCCCCCCCCCCCCCCCCACACCCCCCCCCCCCCCCCACCCCCCCCCCCACCCCCCCCCCCCCCCCCCCCCCCCCCACCCCCCCCACCCCCCCCCACCGCCCCCCCCCCCCCACCCCCCCCCCAACCCCCCCCCCACCACCCCCACCCCCTGCCCCCCTACCCCCCCCCCACCCCCATGCCCCCTTCCCTCTTCTGGCCCAGACCCCCATTCTGGGCTTGAAAACCTGGGTCTGAGCCAGATCCAGACGAAGGCTTTGCGGGGCCGGGAATGTGGCGGCCCCTTCTTAGTGTTTCTCATCTTGGGTGGTCCGAGGGTGGGGTGGGGAAAAGCAACTTCCGGACCCCCATTCTGGGGTTGGAAACCTGGATGAGGGCTTCGCAAGCAAGAGAGAGAACGAATACGGGTAGTTGGTTCTAGGGTGGGTTGGGGATTGGCTCGAACTGGAATGGTTAGAGGGTGGGGTGGGGGGAAAACAAAACATTTTTTGTCAATCCGGACCAACACTTTTGGTTCTACCTTCGGTCTGGGGAAAGCAAGCGCGAAGACAAGAGGCATGCGACAAAACCGACGAGCACGAAGGGAGGGGACATACGACAAACCCTAAGAGCGCGAAGGGAAGGGACATGCGACGAATCTGTAGACCTTTCATCAAACCATACGAGCACGAAGGGAGTGGACATACGACAAGCCCTACGAGCACGAAGGGAGGCATACGACAAACCCTAAGAGCACGAAGGGAGAGGGCGTACGACAAACCTGTAGACCTCTCGTCAAACCCTACGAGCACGAAGGGAGGGGACATACGACAAACCTCGAAATAAACCCGTACATTTCTCAATGTTTTAGGATTCTCTGCAAGCAGAAGGAAAGGGACATACGACAAAGCCGACGAGCACGAAGGGAGGGGACATACGACAAACCCTAAGAACACCAAGGGAGGGGACGTACGACAAACATGTAGACCTCTCATCAAACCCTACGAGCACGAAGGGAGGGGACATACGACAAACCCTACGAGCACGAAGGGAGGGGACATACGGCAAACCTCTGAAAATACAATCTCCGTTTCTTAATTCTTGGGATTCTTTGCAAGAAGACGAAGAGGGACACACGACAAAGCCGACGAGCACGAAGAGAGGCGACATACGACAAAATCTAAGAGCACGAAGGGAGGGGACGTGCGACAAACCTGTAGACCTCTCATCAAACCCTACGAGCATGAAGGGAGGGACATACGACAAACCCTACGAGCACGAAGAGAGGGGACATACGAAAAACCTCTAGGCCTCTCATCAAACCCTACGAGCAGGAGCCAACATGAGGCGAGGTCACCGGGGCACTAATTGGAAAGCAAACATGTGGAAGCCAGGCAGCTTAAAGTGTGCCAAACACAATCAACAAGACGGCCAAAAATAGGCAGGGTCACCGGGGAAAACGAACACGAGCAAAGTGAATATGAGCAGAGAGAGAGAACGAATACGAGTAGACTGACATCGAGCAGAGAGAGAACGAATACGAGCAGAATGAATACGAGCAGGAAGAGAACGAGTACGAGCAGACTCAGTACGAGCAGAAAGACAGCGAAAACGAGCGGACTGAAATCGAGCAGAGAGAGAGAACGAACACGCGCAGAAAGAGCACGAACACGAGCAGAAAGAGAACGAACACGAGCAAAATGAATATGAGCAGAAAGAGAACGAATACGAGCAGATTGACATCGAGCAGAGAGAGAACGAATACGAGCAGAATGAATACGAGCAGAAGAGAACGAGTACGAGCAAACTCAGTACGAGCAGAAAGACAGCGAAAACGAGCGGACTGAAATGGAGTAGAGAGAGAACGAATACGAGCAGCAAAAGCACAAATACGAGCAGAAAGAGAACGAACACGAGCAAAATGAATATGAGCAGAAAGAGAACGAATAAGAGCAGAATGATTACGAGCAGAGAGAGAACGAAGACGAGCAGACTGAAATCGAGCAGAGAGAGAGAACGAATACGAACAGAATGAATACGAGAAGAAAAACAACGAAAACGAGCGGACTGAAATCGAGCAGAGAGAGAACGAATACGAGCAGAATGAATACGAGCAGAACGAGAACGAACACGAGACGAGAAGATCAGAAAAAGAACGAATACGAGCAGAATGAATACGAGCAGAAAGAAACGCATACGAGCAGAATGGAAACCAAGCAGAATGACAAAAAACACGAGCAGAATGAATAAATGAGGGTGGAGGACAGGGCTTGCTGAGGAAAAATGTGAACTTTATATTTCTTAATGTTTTGGGATTCTCTGGGTGGGTGGGTTTTTTTCTAGAGTCCAGACAGCGGCTCTACTAGAGATTGCTCGACCCAGAGCTGCTGAACCCTAAACCCTAAACCCTAAACCCTAAAACCCTAAACCCTAAACCCTAAACCCTAAACCCTAAACCCTAAACCCTAAACCCTAAACCCTAAACCCTAAACCCTAAACCCTAAACCCTAAACCCTAAACCCTAAACCCTAAACCCTAAACCCTAAACACTAACCCCTAAACCCTAAACCCTAAACCCTAAACCCTAAACCCTAAACCCTAAACCCTAAACCCTAAACCCTAAACCCTAAACCCTAACCCCTAAACCCTAAACCCTAAACCCTAAACCCTAAACCCTAAACCCTAAACCCTAAACCCTAAACCCTAAACCCTAAACCCTAAACCCTAAACCCTAAACCCTAAACCCTACACCCTACACCCTAAACCCTAAGCCCTAAGCCCTAAACTTAAGCCTTGAACCCTCAACCGCAAACCCTATAAATTTTAGTCTGTCGGTCTGTCTAAACTTACTTCAGCCGGTGATTGAACCCAAACATGTTTGAGTTCAAGCTCCAAACAGTAACTTGTCAAGAGATCAAGCTTGGTCACCAATCAAGCCTTGGAAGAAGCGGCGAAACTCAAAACATTTGGAAGCAAATCTGTTTGGAATGGGCTGTGGTCTTGGGGTTGGTATTTGGGTTTGAAGGGCTCGGGGGGTTCAGATCGGGTTTGGAATCTAAGGCTGGGGGTGGGGTTGGGGGCCGAGGGGGCTTGGTTAGGTTATTTTGAATGGGTTCAAGTCGGGTTGGGAATCTGGGGTTGGGTGGGGTTTGGGGTGGTCGTGGTTAGGCTTGACCTTGTTTTGAAGGGGCCGGGCTCAAATCGGGTTTTGGTATCTGGGGTTCGGGGTTTGGGCTTGACCTTGTGGGTTTTGGGTATAGTATATCTCCATCAAATGCATGAGAAGATCAATATTGAAAGATGGGCGAAAAGTGAGAGGGAGAGAGAAATCGAATCATCTTTATTTGCGAAGATCAAAATTCCCTATATGTTTTTTTTTTTAAATAAAGCGAGTATATCTGCAAAGATCATGACTTTCTATATATTCAGTCAATCGGAAGGAGACACCCAGCCCGAGAGATAAGTTCTTTTTCCTGCGAAGACCATGATTCTTTATTTATATTCTGTCAATTAGAAATATTCATCCTCGTAAGAACTAGTACAGGAAACATGAAGACCAAATCGAGAGAGGGATTAATTCAATATCCCTGAGAAATCATGATTCTTAATATATCTTTATCAACTAAATTTGAAGGTCAATATGCAAGATGGAGGGCAAGAGGAAAGGAGAGAGGAATCGAATCAGTTTTCTTTGCGAAGATCAATCTTCTTTACATGCGTTTTGCCATAACGAATGGAGATCAAGTTGAGAGATATAAGACTTCAGTTTCGCCTATGAAGATCATAATTATTGATGTAGATCAAGTAAAAAGTGAAAACGAATTCAAAACATATAGATTCAGTGTTAGTTGCGAAGATCATGATACTTTGTTGCAGTTAAAGCCATATCGACTGAACTCCAATCGGATAGATAGATCTTTCTTGCGAAGATTATGAATCTTCGTTTCTATTCTGCCAAATAAAATATACTCGTCCTTATAAGAAAGAGATCGGTTCAGTTTTCCTTTTTTGAAGATCAGATAATCTATATCCACGGAATTATTACGAATGAAGCTCAATTCGAAAGATGGGTTAATTCAATATTCCCTAGAAAATCATGATCCATAGTGTGTCTCCATCAAACAGGTTTTAGCGTCGCAAACCGCAACAAGCTCTCGTTTGGACCGAAGAACACGCATGCCTGTGAGTGTAGATTTCTTCAGGCGATATGCTCAGAGCTGGGAAACAGAATACCCAGGCAGTTATCACCTGCGTGTGGGCAACGTCGGTGATAGTCGAACTATTCTTGGCCGGTGTGACGGGTCAAGGGCGTGACACGACCTGTGAGAGAGGTGAGAGAGGTGAGAATGCCTGCTCAGCATGAGCCTGTTGGGAAGTTTGTGCAAAACAAGGGTCCATCTTCGCTTGAGTCTTCTGCAGTGTACAGTAAACACGGGACCATTTAGCCAACAAGGTGCCAGGCCCTGGATGCAGCCGTTGCACGCCTGGAGAGTCGCATGGACAGGCGCTCTTTGTGGACGGGACAAGTTTCCTTCTAAAAGGAGGACAGAGGGACTCTGCAGGCGTACACGGTGTAGGGACATGACAAGGATGGTGGGGCATTCCTTCGGCCGCTTAGAAGTCTTTAAAATTCAAAGGTCAGAGGCGAGAGAGGTGAGAGAGGTGAGAGAGGTGAGAGAGGTGAGAGAGGTGAGAGAGGTGAGAGAGGTGAGAGAGGTGAGAGAGGTGAGAGAGGTGAGAGAGGTGAGAGAGGTGACCTCTGAGAGAGGTGAGAGAGGTGAGAGAGGTGAGAGAGGTGAGAGAGGTGAGGTGAGAGAGGTGAGAGAGGTGAGAGAGGTGAGAGAGGTGAGAGAGGTGAGAGAGGTGAGAGAGGTGAGAGAGGTGAGAGAGGTGAGAGAGGTGAGAGAGGTGAGAGAAGAGAGATGTGCAAGGTGTGAGGTGTGAGAGGTGTGAGAGGTGAGGGGAGCGGGAGGGGAGGAGGAGGAGAGAAGTTTAGGCGAGGGGGCAGGGGCAGTAGTAGGGGGGGTCAAGAAATAACGAGGCCCAGATCGAGAGGAGGAGAGGAGGAGGAGAGGAGGAGGAGAGGAGGAGGAGAGGAGGAGGAGAGAGGAGGAGAGGCGTGAGGAGGAAGAAGGAGGAGGAGGAGGAGGGGAGGAGGAGGAGGAGGACATGTGCAGGGCCACTGCAGCGCCTGCAGAGCCTTTTTTCACTGAGCTTCTGGTACCACTGGTAGCAATTGCCTCGATCAGGAACCGCTGCTGGGGAGCGCGGAGAATCCAGTGTCGGGTCGCTGGTCGCGCCCGAAGAAAAGGCACGACCAGGCAAGCAAAGGTGCGTTCTATCCACCTCTCCCCGACCTTGCCCCACTTGTGCCATGTGATGCCCCAGGTCGGAGCAAAAATGCACCTTGGCATGGTGAGTTTCGCGTGTTCCGGAAACCTTGCCACCCCAAGGCATGCGCATCATGAGCATCAGCCGGGGCAGCTCGGAGCCTTCCGGAGCTCAGGAGTACATTGCCAAATTTTTCCGGAATCAATATGATGATCTTTTGGTGGTAAAGATAGAGAGGGAGAGAGGCAGAGAGAGAGAGAGAGAGAGAGAGAGAGAGAGAGAGAGAGAGAGAGAGAGAGAGAGAGAGATTCAATTCGGGTTTGGGAGTCTGAAGTTGGGTGGGAAATGAGGTGAGTTTGGCTGGGTCTGATATTGTTTTAAAAAGGGGCCGGATTTCAAGTTGGGGTTTGGGAATCTGGGGTTTTTGAGGCAGGTTTGGTTTGGTTGGGCTGGACCTTGTTCTGAGGGGGCCCGGGGTTCAAAGCGGGTTTGGGAATCTGGGGTTGGTGAGGTTTGGGGTGCTTTGGTTGGGCTTGACCTTGTGTTGAAGATCGGGTTTGAAAATCTGGGGTGCGGCAGGGATTGGAGTGCGTTTGGTGGGGCTTCCGGGGTTCATATCGGGTTTGGGAAATTGAATTTGAGGATCGGGTTGGAACACCGGAAGGAAGGGGTTTCAAGTCGAGATTTGAGTTTGGGAATCTTAAGGGCTTCAAATCAAACAGCATTTTTTCAGAAGGGCGTTTTGAAAGCACATATGTGTGGAAAGAGCCGTTTCAACTGGGTTCAGAAGAAAAAGGGCTTCAAATCGAGTTTGGGAATCCAGCAGACGACCCCCAAAGTTTTACACCATTAAAAGAATAAGCTGATACATGAGCTGTGGAATGGTTCCTGGGGGGCTTGGGGGGGATGCGAGTGATTTCTGTTGAATTGACCGGGGCGCCAGTTGCGCTGGCGAACCCTAAGCCCTAAGCCCTACGCCCCAAGCCCTAAGCCCTAAGCCTTAAGCCTTAAGCCCTAGGCCCTAAGCCCTAAGCCCTAAACCGTAAACCCTAAGAGCCCTCAGAGATGTCGATGTTTTCTTTTTTTGTACCGGAAGGACGACCTGCAGGCTGCCGAGCCCCACTTGAGCCATGGCTGACCTGGCCTGCCCTAAAGGGGGGCCTAAAGGCCTCCAACCAAAAGCCTTTTTTGGGTTTAGGTGTCGGATTCGAGCTTTTGTTTGGGGTCGCAGTAAACCCTTAGATGCAAAAGCGCTTGCCCCTTCCCCCACCCCCACTACTGGTTCAGGCTTTTGGATCTCGGGTTGGGTAGCGGGTATACTCCTGTGGTTCGTGGTGGGTTTAGAGTCGAGGGGGGGGGGTGGCTGGTTGCCTCAAATCTGGCATCCGAAGATCCCTCGACACCACCCCCCCACAGCAAACCCCAAAACAACCCCCAGATTATTCGAAAACCCACACCCCCAAAACCCCCCAAACTCCTGAGCCCTAAGCCCTAGCCCCGAAGCCCCTAAACCCTACAACACTAAACCCTCAACCCTCAACCCTCAACCCTCAACCCTCAACCCTCAACCCTCAACCCTCAACCCGCAACCCTCAACCCTCAACCCTCAACCCTCAACCCTAAACCCTCAACCCTCAACCCTCAACCCTAAACTCTAAACCCTACTCCCTAAACCCTAAACCCTAAACCTAAAACCTAGCCCCTACCCAAACCCTGAACCCTAAACCCTCAACCCTAAACCATATGTAAACCCCAAAGCTTAAACCTCCTTGAGACCCTCAGAGGGTTCCCAGGAGCCAGCATGCCCGGATCCTGGCGGACAATGCGCGGCTCCCGGGAGATCCTTGAGGAGGGTCGAAGCTGCAGAGGGGCTTTAGGGTTTTTTGGGGGTTTAGGGTCTAGGGTTTAGGGTTTAGGTTCAGGGTTTACGGTTTAGGGTTTAGGGTTTTGAGGGTTCAGGGTGGGGTTTAGGGTTTTTAGGGTTCAGGGTTTACGGTTTAGGGGTTTTAGGGATCAAGGTTTTTAGGGTTCAGGGTTTTCAGGGTTTAGGGTGCAGGGTTTAGGGATTTTAGGGTTCAGGGTTTAAGGGCTTAAGGGTTTTTAGGGTTCAGGGTTTACGGTTTAGGGTTTTGAGGGTTCAGGGTTTAGGGTTTTAGGGTTTTTAGGGCTTTTAGGGTTCAGGGTTTACGGTTTAGGGTTTAGGGTTTGGATGGTTCTGGGTTTAGGGTGTAGGGTTTTTAGGGTTCAGGGTTTACGGTTTGGGGGTTAGGGTTTGGAGGGTTCAGGGTTTTCGGTTTGGGGTTTCGGGTTTAGGGTTTAGGGGCTTAGGGTTCTTTGAGGGTTCAGGGTTTACGGTTCAGGGTTTAGTGTTTTTGAGGTTCAGGGTTTACGGTTTAGGGTTTACGGTTTAGGGTTTGGTTTAGGGTTTGGAGGAGGGTCAGATGGGTTTGTACTGTTTCGGAGGATGTTTCATAGGGACCACAGCAAGCATGATGTTGGACATGAGTCTACGAACACTTGAGTTTTGAGCTGCTTGAAAGAGTTTGAGGGGTTCTTCAGTTCCCATCGCCACCGAAAACCCTAACGCCCCTAATGCCTGAACCCTAAACCCCAAACCCCAAACCCTAAACCCTAAACTCCAAACCCTAAACCCTAAACCCTAAACCCTAAACCCTAAACACCAAACCGTAAACCCTAAACCCAATCAGGTCCTACTGCCTGGTGCGCCCCTGTTCGTGGGGTACGTGGTCGGGCGGTATGACGTTGCGGTTCACGAGGCTGTCATCTGTTCCGGTCGTGGGTTTGCGGCAGTTTGGGGGCGGGAGGACGGGGGTTTTAGGGTTCATATAGGGTTTAGGGTTTAGGGTTTCGGTTTGGGGATAGGGTTTAAGGCTTCAGGTTTAGGGTTTCAGGTTCAGGGATAGGGTTTAGGGTTTGTATAGAGTTTGGGGTTTAGGTTTAGGGATAGGGTTTAGGGTTGAAGGTTCAGGGATAGGGTGTAGGGATGTTGTGATGTTGTGGTGGATTTCTACTTGCGCTTATACATATCACCTACAGCTTGAGTGCCCATGTGCCGCTGCTTCAGTGCTTCCGAGCCAGCGTTCCGAATCCTGAATGGTCGTCGGGTTTAGGGTTTAGGGTTTAGGGTTCATTTAGGGAAAAAACAAACTGCACCTGGAACGGGCAATTCGGTGAGGTGCGTTTCTTCGTCTGGTGCCTGGTCCCCAAATGCTCCCGGAACGAGGGATCACAGACCTCACCCGTACTCTGTGAGGCTGCTTTTTGTAGGGGCGGGGTTTAGGGTTTAGGGGTTTAGGGGTTTAGGGGTTTAGGGGTTTAGGGTTTAAGGCTACGTTTTAGGGTTTAGGGTTTACGGTTTTAGGGTGTAGGGTTGGGGGCTTTTTCCCCGCCTTCAGTGTGGGGTTGTTAGATTCTAAACTCAATTCTTCTCCTCGCCCGGAACTCCTCGCCCGGTCTACTCCTCACTCATCGGAGTGCGTGTTCTTGGAGTGCCCAACTCTAGAGTGTTGCTAGAGTGCCCAACCCCAGACTCTTTCGGGAGCGCCCAACCCCGGAGTCTCCCTCAGTTGCCACCCCAAAGTGTCCCCAGAGTGCCAGGCCCAACGTCTCCCCCTGGAGTGTCCCAGAATCTCCCTAGAGTGCCCAACCCAGAGTGTCCCCGGAGTGCCCAGTTGCAGAGTGCCCAACCCAGAGTGTCCACCCAGCGCCAGAGCCTCCAACCCCAGAGTTTCCCTGGAGTGCCCAATTCCAGAGTGTCCCAGTGCCAGTTTTCCTGGAGTGCCCCACCCCTTCTCGGAGTGCCCAGAGTCTCCCTGCAGTGCCGAACCCCAGAGTCTCCCTGGAGTGCCCAACCCTAGAGTATCTCTATCAAGACAGGGTGGGGATGTTCGAAGTAAAATAATTTGATAGGGGCCTTGGAGTTGCCTTAGAAGTACGCAATTTTGGGATTCCCGAAAACCCTGAACCCCAAATGCAACGCCGCTGTGGAGCACTCACATTGGAATTTGGAATGTTTCCCCCTTATACTAACCGTCCCGAAGAGAGATTATAATACCCCGATTCGAATCCCGATCAAGGACTGTTAGTCGAAGGGGAACATCCCACACTCGTAGCTTCAGAGTTTGTTTCTTTGGAGGTGCCGGAGTTCATGCAGCCGGAGCTAGAGGACCCGCGCCGGAGTCGAGGGTTTAAATCCCAGACCTCAGGAGGTTTACCCAACAGTCCTGAATTGGGATCCTGAGCCGCTTTTATTCCCCGCAGCCCGAAAGCCAAAGCCTTAACGTAGGAGAAGGGTTTAGGGTTCAGGGGTTAAGGTTAGGGGCCCAGGTTCAGGCGCCCGGAATCCGACCGCAACCGTAAGGACCCCCTCCCCAAAGAATCAAAGCGGCGCCATCCCCAAGCAAATCCCCCAACATGGAGCCGTCAAGAAAGAACTCTTCCAGCATCCCCGCCCTGAAGGCAAGGAATTTGCTAGCTCACTCTGGGGTTGAGGCACTTTTCTGAACATTCTCTGGGGAGAATGTGCGGCCGAGCATTTCAAAGCCAAAGTTTAAGTTTGCTTTTACAGGGCGTTGCATTTTTCAGTTTTCAAGTTTGAATATGCATAATTCAAGATTTAAAACGTTCAAGTGTTTCTAAACTTTTTAAATTTTAATTGGTTTCCCAGCAGACCCCAGCCAAGCCTTCAAAATGCAAAATTTCAAGTTTGCGATTAAAGGGCTTGCGTATTGGAACTTAAAATTTTACATTCAAAAATGCACGTTTGCGTTTACAGGGCCTGCAGCTTTGACGTGCAATTTCAAAATTTCAAGTTTGCTTTTGCGAGGCGAGCATTTCGAACTTTAAGTTTTTATCATTATTCAATAGCCGAACATGAGCGTCAAGTAGAATATAAAGGAGACGTGCCAAGCCCTACGCCTTAAACCGTAAGCCCTAGGCCCTAAGCCCTAAGCCTTAAGCGCTAAGCCCTCCGCCCATTGGCCCAAAGCTCTCAGCCTCAGAGTTCAGCCCTAAGCCCCAAGCCCCAAGCCCTAAGCCCTAAGCCCGAAGCCCTAAGCCCTAAGCCCCAAGCCCCAAGCCCTAAGCCCTAAGCCTTGAGCCCTAAACCTTAAGCCCTAAGTTGTAAACCCTAAGCCGTAAGCCCGCTCGAAGTCGAGGACTGGATCCTGGTGTGCACGCCGAAATCCTCGCCCGCAGCTGCGTCCGCGGACCTCAGGGAGCTAAGGCCCCGGCTGCTTGGGTTGGGGTTTCAGGGTCAAGGGTTAATGGCTTAGGGTTGTTCAGGGAAACGCCGGGATTCAGGGGCTTCGGAGCTTGAGGATTGGGGCAATTTCGGGGGTTCAAGGGTGTAGGGTTGCTGAGGCCCAAAGCTTTCGAAACTTTGTTTTGTACAAAGGAAAAGGCATGCCTCCAAACTTTCCTGCTTCGTTTTTTGGGCAGAGGAGCCCTGGGCAAGATCTGGGGTTTAGGATTTTCGGGCCGCAATTTTAAGGTTCCTAGTCGCGCTCATGCAAAGAGAGTTCAGCACTGCTCCGAGAGTTTCGGAGGTTTCTTCTTGGGCGTGATTTGCTTTGCAGGCAGTGGGGCGAGAGGGTGGATGCACCTTGGTGGCACAGCAAGCCCCCCACATTCCCAAACCCGATCCTCCGCACATGAACGTGTGCACATCTTTGACTTCTCGAGTCATTTCGAAACTCTCGAGCCTGACACCCTAAACCCTAAACCCTAAACCCAAAACCCTAAACCCTAAACCCTAAACCCTGCTGACACGTAAACCCTCAGAACCACAGAGCTGCCGAGGAAATCTGTTGGGCCAGCAGCCAGGACGTCGTCGACTGGAACTCCTTCCAGGTCAGCTGGCTTGACCTTCGCCCTGATGCCTCCTATGATGAGTGGTTTTAGAACGGCTTGAACAAGAATTGAAGGCAAATCCCAAGCCCCAAAGTCCTAAAAAGCCAGCCCCACACGCGCGACAGGCGGAACTGGGACCGGCCTTGCGCGCCTGGGCCGCGCGGCACGGCCTTCAGGGTCCCAGGCGGCGCGTGCCAGGGGCCTCGGAGCTCCAGGCGCGCCTTTTTTGTTCGGCCTTAAACCGAAACACCCGAAATACGCTAAGTGAGTGCCTGAAATGCTTCAGTGCACCCCTTGTTACCCTGTGAATGCCCTGAATGCCCTCAACCATCCCTCAACCCTCACCGAAACCCCGAAGTCTCGAAGCCCCGGAAGGATATGCAAGGTGAGTATTGGTTGAGTGTACATACGCGGTGTCCTTTGGGGACACTCGAAATAGGCCCTACTTCATATAAAGTGGTGGTAGATTCGCGCGGGGTCGTTGATGGTAAGTGTTTTTGTTGTTCGATTGTTTTTCTTCTCAGGGCTCAGGCTTGAAAAGCGCTGGATTGGGGAGTTGCCGAATAAACACAGTGAGAGTTTTGGACATGTTCACAAAGGCATGAGCGCTTGTGGCAGCGCTTCTTGTTGCAGAAGCGTCAAACATCCTTGTGCGGTATGTCATGTTGGCAACAACGCCGTAAAGAGCAGATTTTTGCAATGTTCGTAAACGAAGGCATGCACGCTTGAGACTGCGTGTCTCGTTCCAGAAATATGTTGTGCAAAGAGGCAACACCTCCGCAAATGCTGAAAATACTGCTGTTTTCAGCATGGTCGCCAGCCGCCCAATTCCTTAATTGTTGAATTCCCTGCGACAGTGAAGAAATTTGTAAGTAAAGCCTTCAGCCCTTGAACCCGAAACACCCTCAAGCCCGTAAAGGCCTCAAGCCCTTAAACTCTTAAACCCTACGCTTTAGGCCTTCAACCCTCAAACACTCTAGGCACCCTTACCAAGCCAGGCGCCTTCTTTGCCCATGTCGGTGCGAGAGCTGAGGAAAGCCCTGAAAGGTTAGGGTTTAGGGTTGCGGGTTGCGGGTTGAGGGTTGCGGGTTGAGGGTTGAGGGTTCAGGGTTCAGGGTTCAGGGTTCAGGGTTCAGGGTTTAGGGTTGAGGTTGAGGTTGAGGGTTTAGGGTTGAGGGTTGAGGGTTCAGGGTTCAGGGTTCAGGGTTGAGGGTTGAGGGTGAGGACTCCGGCAAGTTAGGGGCTGTATAAGGAGGGACGCCTAGAAGGGACTCCATGATTGACAGACTTTGGGGGGGCGTTTCGGGGTTCAGGGCTGGGGTTTACTGCAAGCCGTGTGGGCTTCAGGGCTGTAAGGTTTCGGCTCGAGGCTTTGGGCTTCCAGGCTTGGCTGAGTTGCAAGGCGTCCTGAGCCCGTGTTGAAGATCGCCCCAAGCCTAGACCCCTCTTCTTACTGGTGCTTAAGGGAGAGTGGAAGAGTGAAACCCTATAGTAGTCCCTATATAATCCCTTTATAAGAGTCCCTATATTCACTCTTCCACTTTCCCTTAAGCACCAGTAAGTCTTGTTTTGGGGTTTGCCCCGGCCCTAGCCCTTGGCCTGGAGCCCACCCTCCAAAAAGGCCCAAAACCCGAACTGCCCAAATCCCTACAAGCCCTTAAGCCCTGAGCCTTCACCCTAAACCCCTAAACCCTCAACGGCCCGGTGCCAGGAGCTGGCTGAAGAGCCGCGGCGTGGACAGCACAGGCCGCGACACCTGCGCCCCCGAAAGCCCCTGAAGCTTTTGGGGTTTAGGGTTTAGGGTTTAGGGATAGAGCCCCGAAAGCCCCTGTATGCCCCGTTGTGTGCCCTGCCTTAACACCGCGAACCAGTGCCAGGGCCAAAGTCAGCTTTGGCCGGCTTCTGAGCATGGGCACCAGGGAGGGTCCAGGGTTTAGGGTGAAGGGTTTAGGGTTTCGGATTTGGTTTTGGGTTTAGGGTTTCAGGTTTGGTTTCGGGTTTAGGGTTTCGGGTTTGGGGTTTCGGGTTTAGGGTTTCGGTTTAGGGTTTTGAGATTGAGGGGTTAAAGGGTTTAGGAGCTGTCAATGGGCAACCCCATCTAGGTCTTGAGCCGAAGTCAATGAACCGCCGTGTGCCGATTAAGGTTTGGGCTTTAGGGTTTAGGGTTTAGGGTTTAGGGTTTAGGGTTTAGGGCTAGGGTTTAGGGTTCAGGGTTTAGGGTTAGGGTTTAAGGTAGAGGATGTCAGCTGGACCCCCAAAGCCTTGAACCCGTTAAGCCCCCGGAAGACGCTTAAACCCTTTGGGGGCGGGTTCTAGGGTTTAGGGGGAAGGGGCTTAGGGGTTTGGAGGTTTCAGGTTTCGGGGTCTACAGCCCCAAACGCCCTGTGAAGCACATAAGCCCTGTAAGTCCTCTGAGCCCTTCGAACCTGAACTCTAAGCCCTCAACCCTAAACGCTAACACTAAACCCCGAACCCTAAACCCCAAAAAATCCAACCTGAGGTGCGGAGGTTCACGGCACTGCGGGGGCCAAGCTGAGAGCACTTTGTGCCACCCGGCCAGGCCAGGGAATCCTGTGCTGTGCAGGACCACCGGAGGGTCGTAGGGGCAAGTGCAGGGCATGGTCAGTTCCCACGTGGCGCTGCTGTCGTTGATGCTTCCTGAGCCTGCATCCGTGCGATGTGTGTGATCGGCCTGCGCGGCTGCTTTTTGTTCTTGAATCTGGCCGGGCCCAGCGACACGTTGAAGTTTCGGCACAAGGGTGGCGCCGGCGTGATCAACTTCCAGCGCGAGGTCTCGGATGACCGCATCCTGGAGTTGGAACTCGAGACTGAGGCCGTGGAGATCTCAGAGCAGCAGTGCAAAGTGGTTGACGAAGATGCCCTCCAGCGAGTTCCGAAAGCTCTGCAGGGAAACCCCCCCCTCCCCCAGAGTTTGGGGAGACCCTCCGCGTGACCGGTGACAAAGGATGAGCTGGTGGAAAAGTCCACAGTTTTTTGAGGGAGCCTGCAAGCAAACTCGGCAAAAAAAAGCTCCAGATCAGCGACGACTCTCGGTGCAAATGTCTAAGAACGTCCGAGGTTCCCCCCCTTTGCCCCGCCCTAGACTCTCACACTCTGCTCGACAACGGCTGCTTGAGGACGTTTGCGGCCCAACCGTTTGAGACATGATGACTTCCCATATCCAAACTGTTTCCTCGAGTAGCTACTACCCTAGGATACCCGGAAGTACCTCTCTTCCTCAAAATAAACTGAAAAACACACAGTTTGTGGTTCTATGTTACCAGGGGATCTTTACCAGCGGCCCTGTTAGTCCCAACCTGCACCCAACTTCCTTGCCACGTTCTCGTCTGCTGGCGCGTCGTGGCGGCCATGGCAGAAGGGCACGTCGCATGGCCGTGCCATGTCATGATTAGGGTTTAGGGTGTAGGGTTTAGGGTTTAGGGTTAGGGTTTAGGGGTTGCGGGTACCCGGTTCGGGGATTCGGGTTGCCCACAAAACTCCCCAAACTCCCGAACCCTATTTTGTGGGGGGCTCAAATGGGCCAGCCAAAGCTCAACCACACCCCAAGTGCCTGACCCACTTTGGTCCCGTAGGCACCTGGCATGTGGTGGTAAGCTACGATTCAGGCTGTCGATACAAATGGTGAAGAGTAGTTTTGGGTAGGCCGTGTCAGCAAGCCTAAACCCGGCACCCGCAACCCTAAACACTAAACCCTCAACCCAATCCTTGAGCCCAAACCTTAAAACCTGAACCCTAAGGCCGTAAACCTGAAACCCTTCTCCTTCACCTTAAACCCTAAACGCGAAACCTCGTAACCACAAACCCTAAACGACTGATCTCGTACAACGAGGCCCTGAAACCTAAACCCTATACGCGTGACACCCCCCCTAACCCCCGAACTCTTGAAGGGGGAAACCCCAAACCACTGACCCGAAACTCTAAGCACCAAACTTGGAACCACTGAACCGTAAACCCAATCCTGAAACCCTGAGACGCAAGCCCAACCCCAAACCTCAGACCCTTCTCCTTAAGAGCTCTCAACCATGGACCTTAACTGTCCGCCCCCCTCTTGAAGGCAGACCCCCAAGCCCCTGAAACACCTTGAGTAAACCCTGCCATCATTGTTGAATACTGAAAACCAAAAACCTTGCAACCCTGAAATAGGCGCTTTCTCTAGAGCCTTATCCCGAAATTCCCAAACATACACCCTATGCACCGGACTCCTGAGCCGGAGTACCTCGAGGCTAATGCCCAAACCCTTACGCCCGAAACGCGTAAGCCGCACACCTTCAACACCTGAAGTCCAAGCATGAATCCCTGCAATCTAATCCCTACAACCTCAGCCTACAACCCCGCTTGAAACCTACACAGATCCCTACAACCTCAACCTACAACCTCCCTTGAAACCTACACAGTATCCCTGATCCTCTCCCAACCGGTTCCCCTTAGCCTGAAACCTTGGCCCTGCAACCTGGACCCTACGGCCCCAACTCCCGCCACCCCTTCAAAAACAACAAACAACAAGCGCAACAATTTTCTCCCAGCCCAGACTTCAATTCGCACCCGGACCCATAAGGCCACAACCCCAAGCACTTTAAGCTCTTAGCCGAAACACGCGTGGAAAAACTTAACCTGCGCTTGCAGCCCTCTAGCCCGAAAATCCTAAAACCCTGAACCCTTCACACTGAAAACCAAGCCCTTACACCCAATAAGCAAGACCCGAAAACCTAAACCAATGGCCGTTAAGCCGCCGAAAGATCTATAAAGCTACAAAGCCTCAACCGGACACCTTAAACCACGAAATCTTAATCCTACTCTCTCTCTCTCTCTCTCTATCTCTCTCTCACTCTCTCCGACAAACTCTCTCAGTGCATCTGTAGCCCCTTTGAGGTTAGGGTTTACCCTAAACCAAAACCCTAAACCCTAAACCCGAAACCTTAAACCCTAAACCCTGAAGCCCCCTGTAACTTGAAATTTTTAAGAAAATCCAAAAAACGCATCTCCTCGAAACTCCTCGAAACTTTCCCCGGACCTGAACCCTTAATAATTTCAAGAAACCCTGGCCCTAAAACCTAAACCCTAAACCCTAAACCCTAAACCCTAAACCCTAAACCCTAAACCCTAAACCCTAAACCCTAAACCCTAAACCCCTAACCCTAAAACCTAAACCCTAAACCCCTAACCCCTAAGTTCGAAACCCCTAACTTCGGATGGCCGCTGAGGTTCCTTTCGTTTTCCATGGGCACGTGTCTCCCGGAGGCCTCTGCCCACGGGGCCCTAGGACGTTTGGGATGTTGGGGCTCAGGGTTTAGGGTTTAGGGTTTGGGGTTTGGGGTTTAGGGTTTCGGGTTTAGGGCTTCGAGTCCAGCATTTTGGTTTTGTTTACGAGCAGAGGTTTAGGGTGGGGGTTGTGGACAGCTTTGTTTGGCTGGGAAGCGCAGCCATGTGCAGCCTGTCTCAAAGCCGAGAAAGGTGAATGGCTTTAGGGCAGCGACGTGAGAGCTGATGTTACCCGTGCATCCGGTGCGCCCGGTACCCGTGGGCGCAAAGGACATCTCAGAGGGGCCAGAGAGCCAAGAGAACCCAGAGAGCCTAGAGAGCCCAGAGGCTATTACTGAAGCGCTGGCTGAGTTCTTGGAAAGGATGGAACCGACCCGCCCAGATGCCTTGCGGGCCGTCTCGGCTGGCTTAGTGCTGCGGCGTTTTGGGCAGCTGCTGCGTGGTTCACGGCGGCCGGGCGACTTGTACGAATGCAGTCATGTGGTGCAAAAGATCGACGAGTTCTGGTCACACAGCTGGCAGTGCTCCCTAACCTGGAAACTCTGTCTTCTGTTGTTCTACAAGAATGGCCTCGCTGCTTGTGTCGCTGGTTGCCTGCCGGCGGCCTGTGCAGCTGCCTTGTCCTACGCGGATGTCTTTCCAGGCTCTGCTCTAGGTTTGGGTGTTTGACTTGAGCGCTTGAGCCCGAGGCGCTAAACCTTAAACCCTAAACCTCGTTTCAGCACTTCTGTAGAGATGTGTGCAGCTGTTGTGAGGCTGGTCCAAGCTGCCGTTGAACCAAACTTCGACTGCGTCGCATCTTGGCCTGTGTGCTTTTTGCCGCACCTCTCTTTGGTTGCGCATATGTGTCCCCTATTTTGTCCGTTTACTACGCTGTCAAAGGGCCCCCAATAATCTTGGACCACTTCTTGAATCTCGGGCTCCTTTTGAAGTCACTCTAACTAAGCCTATTCTAGGGCTTGCTTCCCCTGCTTAGTAATCTCATGAGGGATCATGGGGGGAAGAGCTGTGGATATGAGAAGTTGGCTGTCTTCCCAAGTGTTCATCCGGACCTGGTGGGTTTTTCAAACTTCGGCCTGGAGGGGCCCTGGTTTACAGGCGGAGCCCTGGGCGATCCCACACATACACACACGTTGGACCACGTGAAAGACTTAGACTCAGATGATGTCGTTTTATTGGAATGCCTCATCAAGGGCACCCTCTCCTTTCTTTGCGTTCTTTTGGGCACTTGACCATAGCGCTTTCGCTAGCTGTCGCTGGCCGTCACAGAAGCAAAGTTTTGGCTTCATCGGTGGTGGTGCTGCTGCTGGCAGTAGTGGGCAGCACTTGTAGGAGCAGGAGCAGCGGGAGCAGAAGCAGCAGAAGCAAACTTCAGATTCCGTTCAGAGCATGTTTGATGTGTCCTTAAACTACACTTAGCCCTAACATCCCGAAACCCCGTCTAGACCTGGTTTGAGGATGTGCAGCATTTTGCCAATGTGGTGGTTCGTGTTGCGCAGTGCGGGACAGTGTAGTCTCCCCAAAAAGATGGCAACCTCGTACAGATATTGGTGCTGGAGCACAAGAGACAGCAAGTCGGAGAGACACCGTGCCGTTTGTCAAAGGGCCCGAAGAAATCGGCCCATAGAGTTCGTTCAAGGGTCCAGATTCTCATGCTCCACAGTAAGGGTGGCCCGCCCAAAAAGCTCGGAATAGGATGCTCGCTGATCTAGATCCCTAAGCGGCCTTTTGTTGCCTTCCGACCTCATTCTTCTTCTTATTATATTGAGAATACTATTCTTATCGTATTTATGGCTCTTAGAACCATTTGTACTGTTGTTACTATTGCAAGTGTGGCTGCGATTCCTGCACCCTGCAGGTATCCACACAGCCCCTGGACTCTCCTCGCAGGTCTTCTCTTTGCTTTGCTGGCGCTGCTCCTATGGCACTCCAGGGACCAGGTTTTCCTCGACAAGATTTGCATCCACCAAGCGGACTCCAGCCTGAAAATGGAGGCTCTGCTGAACCTGGGGTGGTACCTCAAGAGCTCGAGGAGGATGGTCGTGGTCTGGGATTCAACGTACTTGTCAAGGACCGCGTCTGTGCGCCGCTGTTTTAAAGGGGCCCCGGCCGGGGCCGGTAGGCAGCCGACGATCACGGTTAGATCCGACTCAAAGCAGCAACACACTCCAAACTCCAAAACTCATGAGAGATAGCAGCACGCAGAGTAGTGCATTGGGCGATATATGCCAAGAACTGCCAGGCCCTTCTCATCACGCAGTGGCACGAAGCAGTAACTGCTGCACGTGCGCAGGGGAGGGTGTGGGATCTGAAAACGGAAAACGCTTTGACCGGCTGTCACCCACATTTGTGGCGCATGCCACCCATCCATCCAGGCAGGCGTACAGGCATATAGAACGGAATGAGTCGCAGGACTTGGTGTCTCTTCGAGCTAGCAGCGTTCCTGCATAGCCGCCGAGAGCCCGAAGACGCGCACTCGTGCTTGCTGATCAAGCCCATCCTGCTCGCGCCTGTCACCTTTGCCATGATCCTCCTGCCGTCCATGATCATCGGACTTGAAATCTGTTTGCCGGCCGGCGGTCTGCTGCAAATGGTCAGGATTGTGGCCTTGCTGGCGTACACCCTCATCTTCAACTACCTTCTGTTGCAGTACTGGCGCAGTGTCATGGCGGCTGAAGTAAGCTTCCAGAAGTTCTGCTGGGCGGACACGAGCTGCCAGTGTTGTTCAGTAAACCACTTCGGTGAGAATGGAGAGCCCATCATGTGCGACAGGGAGATATTGACGCAATGCATCAGCAAGTGGTTCGGGTCCATTGATGCTTTCGAAGCCCGTGTTCGCACGGAGGTGCGGAATCGTTTTATAGCACACGTCTCTACGTTCCCGTGTGGATACGCCTGGATGTTGGCCATTAACATGCTCGTCATCTGGGGTCAGACGGACTTTGCGGTTGCCCGGGCCAGAGGCAGGGACTTCAACTGGGCAGCGGCCCAGCTGGTCATTGGCGTTGCGGCTGTCTTTTGGATTTCTCCGACCAGCTACCTGATCGCTGGATGGTTGGCTCGCTGGCAAAGTCGGCAGGCTTCCTGCATGCGCCTGATGGTTGGCTACCTGGGCCTTGTGGTGAACACGTTGTCCCCGCATGCTTTCCTGTACGCGCTGACCACGCTGCTTAAGAAGCCTTTGCTAGCCGCCTTCCTGTATGCTGGGAGTTCGCTGCTCACTTCGTTGCTCGTGGCAGCATTTCACTTCGTGCTGTGTGCAAGGCGAGAGCCTCCGCAGCCTCTGCAGTCCGGGCACTGTTTTGAGAGAGCGCCCGAGCAAAGCGCGAGCCCCAGCAAGCTTTGAGCCAAACACAGGCGCCCCCCCGAGACGTGGCAAGCCAGCAGGCAAGCAAGCAGGAAACCGCGACTGAATGTTTCCCGCTCACTTTGGGGCAGTGCCAGTCTGCGCCCACGGGCTGTAAAACAGCCCTGAGGTGCAGTTCCGATTCGAGGCTGCCGTTGGAAAAGGGGACATCTTGAGAGGACAAGGCAAGCATGTGCCGTCTTTAGAGTTTCCACGGCTGTTCTTGGAGGCCAGCAGCGAGCCGGCGCTGCGCCAGTGACTGGGGCGCTTGGGATGTTTTCCTTTGTATGTGGTTTAAGATATATTTCTTAGACTAGGGGGTTTAGGAGGATCATGGTTAAGGGTTTACAGTTTGCTTTCCAGAGAGATTTTCAGGGCCAAGCTCAGGTGGAGATGCAAAAGGCTGGCCGAGGAGAGCTCCTCGTGGGCCGCCGCGAAGACGCTTTTGCTGCAAGTTGTGTTAAGGGGTACTTGGAAATAATTTGTAGTTTTTGGGTACTGTAGTTCCTATGAAACAGCATAAACAACTAATTTTTGCTAGGGTTCCAAGTTCAGTACAGTGTGTCCCTGCGCACGCGGGGTGTGCCCCCTGAACTGGCCCTGAACGCCTGAACCGCCCCAAACCATAAACCCCTAAACCCTAAGCCCGAAGCCCTTAAAACCCGAACCTCTCTGAATCCATCCCGTAACCCGCTTCTCAGGCTGAGCGTGCTTTCAAGCAGTTGGAAGCCCAAGGTTTGTGGTAGACTTGGATTTCGTACTCCCAAGTGCAAGTCCTCAACCCTCAACCCTCAACCCTCAACCCTCAACCCTCAACCCTCAACCCTCAACCCTCAACCCTCAACCCTCAACCTTCAACCCTCAGCCCTCAGCCCTCAGCCCTCAGCCCTCAGCCCTCAGCCCTAAACGCAAAGCGATCCGCCATAAGCCCCCCCCCCCCCCCCCCAAAAGCCCCGAGGCGACGGAAGCACACTGCAGATGGCGGCCACTGGAAGGACGGCTTGAAGCCCCAGGAGGCTGAGAGGCAGACCCCGGGCATGTGCGGGTTCTGGGCTTCGGGAGGTCTAGGGTCCAGCTTAGGCGGAGGCCCCCGTGAGTGGTTGCCATATTCAGAGTGATATTCAGAGAAGTCCCGGAAATCTCGCAAGAAATTCGCACCTGGCTTTGCTGTCGCAATTAAGTATGCTTAGGGCTTAGGGTTTGCGGTTTAGGGTTGAGGGCTTAAAGTTTCGGGTTCAGGGTTTAAGAGTTGTAGCTCAAGGGTTCATAGGGGTTGAAGGGTTTAGGGCCCGAAGGGTTTGATGGTGAAAAGACAGGGCTGTCGCAGAGTGGGTTGATGTGTTTACCCAAAACCCTTAACACCCTAAACACCCTAAACTACATATATACATATATACATATATACATATATACATATATACATATATATACATAGACACATATATACATATATACATATATACATATATACATATATACATATATACATATATATATATATACACACCATAAAGCCCCCCCCCCCCCCCAAGGATTAGGGGCTCTGGGATGTTCTTAAAGTGTGACGAGTTTTCCGGTTTAGGGTTTAGAGTTTCCAGCAACATGGGGCTGAAGGCTTTTAACTCCCCAGATTTGTCCGGAGTTTGGAAGACGTCTGCAACTTTGGGATTTAGGGTTTCGGGCCAAAATAGATACGAGTACCACCACCCTCAAACCCTAAACTAAACTCGGAGCCCTCGACCCTCGTCATAGCCCCCAAAGCAGGTAACCTCCCCCCCCACTACCTAAATGTTCGGAACACTAGACATCCTAAGCCCTAAACCCTAACACCCCCCCGCCCCCTGCCCCACTTTCCGGCAGGTCCGACGAGCTTAAGACGGGGCTCGCTGCATTTGGAGCGGCTCGCCATGCGAAAGCCCTGAACCCTAAACCCTAAATCCTAAACCCTAGACCCTAGACCCTAGACCCTAAACCCTAAACCCTTGACCCTAAACCCTGACCCCTAACCCCAAACCCTGAACCCTAAACCCTAAATACCCTAAACCCTAAGAGCGCGGTGCACTCCAGGACCCTTGAACACTCAGCTTCGGGTCTGCTCTCTGCTGTTTAGGGGTTTCGGGGTGGCTTTACGGTTTGCAGCCCTCTGAACCCTCCGACGTCACCCACCCTTCAGGGTTGAGGGTTTAGGGTTTAGGGTTCAGGGTTTAGGGTTTAGGGTTTAGGGTTTAGGGTTTAGACGGAGGCCTTCGGCGAGTCCTGTGTGGCGGACCTTTCGGCCGTCACCTTCCTGACCCTGACTGCCCTGGTGCCGGGGCCTGGATGGCTTGCGGGTGCTGTTTTAAAGCCCTGAGCCCTAAAACCCTGAGACCTTAAACTCCAAACTCTAAAGCCCAACATGCCGTGAAGGGTGGAGGGTTGAACTCTGAGGGCCTACTGCGGACTGAGGGCTTGGGAGCTTGGGAGTTTGGAAGTGCTCTGGTTCCCTCAGCCCCTCAACTCCTCGCTGCTCAGGTGGCAGCTGGCGTCTTCATCCTGATTTGCATCTCCAGTTCTTTGGTGCTTGCAGTGCTGCCGGGCCGCAATCTCCGGCAAGCACTCACAGAGCAATGCGTTTACGGCGCAGGGCAAAGGGTCAGGGCTTCCTTGTTAGAGATACGGGGGGGGATTCTGTACCCAGAGAGAGCCCAATACCCCTCAACTAAGGAATCTACCTTAAATCATACCAAAGATCCCTACATAATTTCAGGCATACTCCTTATTTAAGGGGTAACCCTAAACCCTAAACCCTAAACTTATGACACCCATTCCAGCCACAGGAGCCCTGATGTTAAATCATTTTTTATATGATGTTTTTATGATTCGGGCAATTTTCTAGGTTTCTTGTGTTTATGATTTAATTATGTTTTTTTATAGCCCGCGAGATGGCTTTATTTAGCTTTGACAAAGCTTGTTCTTCCACTCAGGACTCCAGCCATATCGCCCCTCACCCAAGCCCGACTCTGCCCGCAGCGTCCACACATCCGCTTGATTGGCGGGGGGTGGGGGGTGGGCGGGGGGGTATAGGGGGGAGGGGCCGGAGGAGGTGGGGAGTGGAGAGCCAAACAGGCCATACCGAAATCATATTTTTATCGTAAGTTTGATAATCACAAAAAATCACAAAAAATCATCAAAAAAACGCCGTGTTTTGCAGTGTTTCACGATCCCAGGTGCTGTTCCCCTTCTCCGCCCCCCCGCCTCCTCCCGAACCCCCCCGCACCGCCCCCCCGCCCCCCGTCCCCCCCCTCCCCCCCAACCCCACCCCACCCCCACCCTGCAACCCCCGCCCCCCACCAAACCAGCCATACTCGTACTTTGTGGTTTGTGTGGTTTGCATGGTCCTGAGCAGGTAGAAAGCAAACAAAAATCATAAACATCACGCACTGAATCATATAAAATCATATTACGCCACATATTTCCAATCATAAAGAAACATATGTGTTGTCATATCCATAAATAAATCATAAATCGAGGATTTTCGAAATCATAAAAAACCATAAGAAAACCATAAAAAGATCAACAAAAAATATTCCGTGAATCCTGCCTCTGGCCGGACATCCCGTGTCATAACCCTAAACCCTAAACCCTCAACCCTCAACCCTCAACCCTCAACCCTCAACCCTAAACCCTCAACCCTGAACCCCCATGGGGCTCTTCGGGTATCCTGATCCCACGGGATTGCTGAAGGCTGTGCAGCTGCGTCTGTTTGCTGTTATCGATGCTGGCGCTCTCCAACCATGTGCCACGGCTGCAGGCCAAGCCCCGAACCTTGCCACCCTAAACCCAAAACCCTAAATCCCAAACCCTACACCCTGAACCTTCAACCCCAAACCCTAAACCCTGAACCGCAAACCGTCAACCCTAAACCCTGCTGCCCAGAAGCTGCTGAGGTCTTGTTTATGACCTACGAGGGCGCCTGGGCTGTTTGATCCTTGGGCCGTCCGGGACCGCCTGCGATCCCCCTGGCTTTGAAGTCTCCGGGGGTATGCTCAATTCGTTCCATGCACCTCCGTGCATTGCATCTAATTCCCGCGCTTCCGTGCGTTTTTGGCCTGGGATCGTGTACACATTCCTGGGCTTCACCAAGTCGCTGAGGCCCCCTCCTCTCACACCAAAACTCCAAGAGCCTAGCGCCCCTAAACCCCTAACCCCTAAACCCCAAACCCTAGACCCTATATAATCCCTAGCCACAAATCCCAAAAACATAGAAGCTCTCAGCCATTTGGCCTCTCGCTGAAGCCCACGCCAGCCTCCAGATGTCATGGCCTTCTTTCAAGCCAGTGGGCCATGGGTTTCAGGCTAGGGACGTTGTTCAATTAAACATTTTTATAGGACCATGCCGTTTATGCTTGGTTCTAAGGGGAGAAGGAGGTTTGATGCTTTGGTTTAGGGTTCCAAGATGGCACGTCGTGTTGAGGGGACTTGAGGCTTCAGTGGGCCCCCCGCGCGGGGCAAAGCACCCGGCCAGGGGCTGCTGGAGGCCATGGCGGAAGGGGGTGGGGGTTGTTTTGAATGACAGCCTCCTACCAGGTACCTTCGCGCAGCAAAAGTGTGGAGCCTGCCTCCGAACGTGTATGCGCTGATATATGTGTATATATACAGATGTATGTATATGTATACATGTGTATATAGTTGTAAGATGTTTGTACACACACACATATATATATATATATACATATAATGTCAGGTTTAATTTTGTAAATGTATGTAGAGGCCGCTGTAGTCGGAAAGTGGAGGGTCAGGGTTTAGGAGCACCTCGAACCCCAAAGCCATCTCCCACAAGAAATCTCCGTCAAGTCGAGTCCCAGATTTCTTTGAGAAGTGCGGAATTTATCGTTTCGGTGCTTTGCTTAGGCTTCCCTTGAAAGCCCTGAACCCTAAGCCTAGAACACTCAACCAGAAATCTGTAGGGTCGAGGGCCTTGAGGAGGCCTTGGGTTGTGGTGAAGGGTTTCTGGTTCAAAGTTTAGAGCGGTGTACGTTGCCGGCCCACTAACGAATTTCAGATACGCATCTCGCCCAAATTTTTAGAGCCCTGAGGCGGATTTCGGAAACATTAGAAACTAGAAACCCTAAACCCTAAACCCTAAACCCTAAACCCTAAACCCTAAACCCTAAACCCTAAACCCCAAACCCCAAACCCCAAACCCTGAACCCTGAACCCTGAACCCTGAACCCTGAACCCTGAACCCTGAACCCTGAACCCTAAACCCTAAACCCTAAACCCTAAACCCAAACCCAAACCCTAAAAGGCACATTTCAGAGCAGAAGGGCAAGATGCTTGCCCTCGCCCTATACTGGCACTTTGTTTGGGTTTAGGGTTCCGTGCGCTCGTCTTTTGGGCTCAGAATCCGAAGTCGGCGCCCATGTGTAGCACTTACAGGCTCAGGGCAAAGCTTTCTAAACCCAAAGCCTCTAACTCACCCTCAACCTTAAACCTCCAAACCCGAAACCCTACCCTCAACCCTGAAAACCCTACAACCGTAAGCCGCATGGCGTGTTCCCCCCTCCACCCCCCTCGCCCTTGTCCCGCCTCCTTGTTCTACGAACTTGACATGCAGAGCCTGGGCTTCGGCGCGCCACACGCGCGGAGGGCCAATGGCGAGGACAGCTTTGGGGGGTTTTAGGCGCTGCCTTGAGCAGGGCTTTCGGTTCGAGGCTTTGGGGCAAGTCTTGGGGTGACACTTTGCGGCAAAAACCGCAAGCCCTAAACCCTAAACCCTAAACCCTAAACCCTAAACCCTAAACCCTAAACCCTAAACCCTAAACCCTAAGCCCTAAGCCCTAAGCCCTAAACCCTAAGCCCTAAACCCTAAACCCTAAACCCTAAACCCTAAACCCTAAACCCTAAACTCTAAACCCTAAACCCTAAACCCTAAACCCTAAACCCTAAACCCTAAAACTTAAACGGGGCTCAGGATTCTCCGTTCCTGAACCCTAAGCCGTTGAGGGCCCCTTGAATCCTGAAATTTTCCGATGATAGGACCTACAGTTTCTGGTGGGGGTGCTTCACATACTACAGGGCTCTTGCAAGAGCCTTGTGTAAGAGGTTGACAGGGCCCTGTGCTGTTGATCATGGGGTTTAGGTTTAGGGCCCAGGGTTTAGGGTTTAGCGCTTAGGGCGTAGGGCTTAGGGTTTGTATACCCGCTAACAACCCTAACCCTAAATCCTTTGTATGACAGGCCTCGAGCACGGCATTGTTCTGGGCCTCCTGCGACGCGCAGCTGCTGTCCACGGTGCACACAAAGCCACCGAGACGGCAAATTTAAGGTCTGGGTGTGTTTGAGACTCGGGCACTTCATGTTCGCATTATATTCGAGGGTGGGGGGTCTACCGTCAGGGTGACGGGTTTTAGGGTTTCAGACGTGCTGTTAAGGGGCTCTAGGATTTCGTTGGCTTTGTGAGAAGTACCGCGGCCTGTTCTTTTTTCATGGTTCGAAAGGGTTGCTACTAGTGGAGATGAAGCGTTTCAGCTTGGGATCCTGGGCCTTGTAGCAGTAAAGGGTACCTTCAACGCAAAACCCCCAACTCCAACGCATGTATAAACCGGAAATCTTTTTTTCACGACCTCCTGCTGAGGGAACTGTTGCTAAGAAGACAAGACAACGAAATTTCCAATATCACCCAAAGATCTTCGCACTCCCCGGGCTGTGGGTTTCGGGTTTCGGGTTTAGGGTTTCGGGTGGTGGGTTTAGGGGCTTAACGCTTAAGGTTTAGGCCGTTAGGGTTTACTACTATTTGCTTAAGAACCCAAAGTTAAGAGCCCCCCCCAAACAACTATTGTCTAGTCATCCCTATATTTCCCTTCTAAGGAATATTTTTGTGATTTTCTTGGAGGGTTCTTAAGCAAGTGGCAGTTTAGCATTTAGGGTGCTGCGGAGTGCAGTCTCCAGGATGGGCAACAACCCTATACCCCTTTCTCTACTATTTGCTTAACCTCAAAAAAATGTTCGTCTCTATAAGGGTAAAAATAGTTTCTTTTATTTGTGGGGGGGGGGGGGGGTTCTTAGGCAAGTAGTAGTACTCTATCTTCAAAGCACCAAGCCCGAAGCCTTCCACCCATGACACTTAAGCCCCGCCACCGCCTCGTTCCCCAAGCCCAAAGCCCTAAACCCTAAGCCTCAAACCCCAAACCCCAAACCCCAAACCCCAAACCCCAAACCCCAAACCCCAAACCCTAAACCCTAAACCCTAAACCCTAAACCCTAAACCCTAAACCCTAAACCCGAAGCCCTAAACCCCTGAAACTTCAATCGTATTGCAGGAAGGAGTGGGATGAGGCGATGCGCTCTTCAAGCCAGTGGAGGCACCTTGGGGTTCAGTGCTTCGGGTTCAGGGTTACATCAGGGGTCCATCTTTGGGGATGGGGTTCGTCTTTAAGGTTTAAGGTTTAGGGTTTAGGGTATAGGGTATTTTCTTTTTGGGGTAGAGGAGGGGCACCCCTGGTTTGTTCGCTTGCTCGCATGTTCAATGTTCATGACTTGGTATCCCTCTCACCAGCCTCATGCCCCTGGTTTCTGCAAATGCGTCTACTGCAGGATATACTTAGGTGGGGCTAGCTCGCCTTTGTTTGGTGGACGAAACTACTTGGCGACAAGGAAGGAACCTATCATGCCACCTTGCTCAACTGCACGCGCACATGGAAGTCGAAATCCCCTAAGGGCAAAAAAATGACCAACACTGCCTCTCACAGTCCCTACACATTTTCAACAAAAACTTTCCAAAATTCACCGTCTGTTGAAAATTGGCCTCTATATCAGCCCCAGAAATGGATTTATGGATGCAAGCCAGCCAAGGCAAGCATTGAGCCTCTACTGGCAGGGCGTGGGTCAGAGGCGGGCATGTTGGGCCTTCGGGGTTTGCGAATAGTGGAATCTGCAAGAAGCCTATGCCGACGGGGACCCCAACTAGGGTGAAATGGTTTAGGGGTTTAGGGTTTAGGGTTTAGGGTTTAGGGTTTAGGGTTTAGGGTTTAGGGTTTAGGGTTTAGGGTTTAGGGTTTAGGGTTTAGGGTTTGGGGTTTAGGGTTTAGGGCTTTAGGACTTCGGGTTCAGGAAGTTTCTAATTCAAGACACCGGATGTCGATTGAGGTTGCAGACCGATGCCGTGTCGGTGGCCTCCGTCATGAAGACCCTAGCAGCTTTACAGCATCAGTGAGGCGTGTAGAGCCGGTGCAGTTTGTGGGGCCCCCTTTGCCGTGAACCCTAGTTAGCCCACAAAGCCCAAGACCAAAAGTAGCCATAACGAAGCGAAACAAATTATCAGCAAGATCCCAGGCACGCCATGAGCAGTGGCAGCAGGCCATGTGGCTCTTTGCGGACTTGTCCCGTCAGGCCACACAGAGGCCTGTGAAACCCTGGATCCCTCCTTGGGTTTCGAGTTGGGGCGTTCCTCCTGATGCTAACAGGTCCTGAATCGGGATTATAGTAACCCCCCCATTATCATCCCCAAAGAGGAACATCCCAAGTTTCGAGGTTTAGGTTTGCAAGGTTTGGAGCCCCCCCCCCCCCCCCTCTTCTGCCAAACGCCCCGTTGGGAGGAATGTGGTGGTCTTCAGCACCGCTGTGGCCGCCTGTTCCAAGGGCCGCTGCTGGGATCAGGCGGTTGAGGGTTGAGGGTCTCCGTTTTTTTTAGGGTTTAGGGTTTCAGGGCTTTAGGGTTTTAGGGTTTAGGGTAGAACCTCAGGCTCGGCCCACATGAAGGCTTGCTTAAGACTAGGCCTCATCTTGCAGAGAATGTGTGTGTGTGTGTGTGAAGACATGCATATATGTGCATATATACACACTCAAGCCCGAGACTCCACCGTCAGTGGCATGAGGACCTCTGCATGACACCAACAGATGGGAGCTGAGGCATGTGGAAGCTGAAGAAAATCCCCTCATTTGTCAGCAACAGGGTTTAGTGTTTAGGGTTTAGAGTTTAGGGTTTC